TTGGGGGGGGGGGGTGACCTGGCCATAACCTGCTATGCAGTGCATTGGAGGAGGGTGGCCATATTCATTGCCACTTCTCTGCTGCCACCAAATTTCTTGATCCATGGAGAGCTTCTCAGGCCCTATTTGGCCTGCAAGGCAGAAGTTGAGCACCCCTGATTTAGACAATTCATACATGTGCACTAAAAAATCATCCATGAAGAAGGGAGTGTGGGGTAGTTAGTGTATTTTAAATTACTTTGCTTACTGCTTGCTGGTTTCCCAGCGTACTTAATTCGTCAGTCTTGTGGCTTACAATCTGCGTTTGTATTGACTTTATTGTTTGAGAGAACTGAGGTTCACTATTTTTACTTTTTTCAGAAATATAGTTTCTGTGTATGACAAGTCGACAGCACTCTTCCCTGAAAGACTATTCAACACATAGTTTTCTTAAATGAAAATTGCAGGGCTTCCCAGTAAATTAATGTGCTAACTGGTTCAACAAGAACTATTTTGTTTTAAATTCTTAATTACATGGGTCTTCAGAATTATTATATTGGTATTTGGCAACTTGAATAATTAATCTTATACCCACAAACAGCCAAAAATGTTGCAGTTTTTACATTGAACTGTTTAGAGAGAGACAATCCTAGTTTTTGCTTTCTTTGTTGCTTGTTAGCAGGGTTTCTTTTCTATTTGTTTGTTATTATAGATACTTATCCTTTAGGGACATATGAAACCCGGCGGTTGAGGCGAGCATTCCTGAAAGTTTGAATAGATCTGTCCCTGAGGTTCAGCAGCTACTATATTGCAAAGCACTAGGGATATAAGTCTTCCCTTGAGTTCATTGTAGTTAATTTATTTAGTCTGTAATGTTGTTTTCCATTTAGGCTTGGAAACTGGCTGCGAGAGATTTCTTCCCATTCCAGAAATATGTTTTTAGACTGCTATATTAAGCGTTTAAGGATCCTGTTTGTTTTAAGAGACTGCTTCAGTTATTTCAGCATGTAATAAACACTATTAGATCTTTTATTTCAGAATCAGAAAAGGAAACCTTCAAAGTATTCATTAAACTTATATTCGTGTAATACAATTTAATGTATATGATCATCAGTGTATTGCTTGGCTAACAAATAAAAGCTAAACCATTGGATACATATGTTTTAAGTGTGTTGCAGTTTTTGTCTGGAGGTATTGCTTCTGTTATGTGGGATTTTATGCATCATTGTAATAAGACTTTCTGAAAAATAATTCAGGGAAATAGACAGGACTAGTCTCCTGGTTAGTGACATAAGCAGTTGTAAAATAATAAGGAGCCTGAATCCTAACCCCTGGCTCATTTTTCTGTTGACTTGACACCAACATGAAACTTCTGAAATAGGATGGTGGAAAAAAAATCCAGCTATCCCATGTGGGCATCTTGGAACTTGACAGTCATAATTTACAGTAAGAACAGAGTTGTTTGACTCTTAACCTTGTGTGGGCTTTGGGTGTATCCATTTGAATATCAAAGAGCCCTTGAGAATAGCTTTTGATTTAAATCTTCATTTGTATGTTGTGTCAGGGGCTTGCAGATAGGGTTTTGTTCTGTGCTGCAAAATGTGGTTAGTGGTGAGAATCTATCAAAAACAGCTATTGTTTTCATAAACCAGATGTTTATAGGAAACTAACATAAAAACTATTATACTAACCTCCCTTAAATCATGTTGTGATAGAAAACCTTCTGTTTGTGAGTGCTGATTTTGTAGAAAATGTAACTGGTGGTTAATAATTTACATGCTGACATAAAAAGATAAAGATGAAATCTTACACACAGTCTAGCAATCTGGGGTTGTGCTGATGGCCTGCAGAAATAGGAAATTCAGTTTCACCCGAGCCTGAGCCAGTGATTAGCACTATTGTACCTGTTGGCTCTTCTAGCCAGTTGCTCAGGCTTTGATGGTCAATAGATCAATGTGAATTCTTAGCAGTCTGCCCCTTCATTGCACTTACTTCTGTAAGGCTATGTTGACCTATACTGTGGTACAGAAGAGATGCCGTTCCTTCAACAGTGATGTTTAGCACAGGCCCTTTGCATAACTCCAGTGGTAGGGTAGTTCCTGAACTAACCCGCCTTACCACTGGTGATTTTTCACCCTGAGTGACCAGTTCGTGTTTATCTGTAGCAAATCATTGGCAAAGCAGTTTGAATTCTGGGCTTCCTCCTCCAAACAGAAGAGTGATTCATTGCCTACAGAGCTCCTAAAGCTGCCATCTAGTCTCATATTGTTCTTCATCAGTAGATCTCAAAGCACTTCACAAAGGATGCAAGCACAATCCTATTCCCATGTGATGGATTGAAAAAACTGAAACTCAGAGGTGAAATGACATACCCAAATTCCCCTAGCAAGTCAGAGGCAGAGTTGGGAAAAGATTCCAGTCTCCCGAGTTCTAAATCAGTGTTTTATTTGCTGTCTCTTAACTATAGCACATTGTCTGCTATCTAAACCCCTTCAGAAATCATCAACCAAAGTGCTGTTCATATAGCTAAATTTGTCTGGATAAAACCAGTTACAATAGTCTTACTCATATTTATTTTTGTTACGTGCATCATAATCCTCAATTTTTTTTTCTCCACAAATTATACTGAGTAGTGTTGTGCACAAGTATTTGACCAGCCAGTGGCTGTTATAGCACAGTCCTTGCCAAACTTACGGTATTATGGCACGAGGTGGTAACTGGATCCATAGGTGCCAACTTTTATTTTTGCAGGGGGAGAGGCTAAAATGATGGACACGTGGAAAGTTTTATGCATTTCAGTTGACAACCCTCCTCCTAAGGGGGGCCAGAGCCCTTGGGCACCTGCATACTCAGCACCCGTGAATAGATCTAGGCTTTAAAAGCAAAAGAAAATAGGGAATTGAGACTCAAATTAATTGAAACTATCAGTAGACAGTCCTGGCCCACTAAGTGATTGCCTTTTATGCAGTCATGGGAAAAGTTTAAGAAAAATGTAACTAGTTGAAGTTAAACATTAGCAGCCTTTAAAATTAACTTGAGTTAAGTTAAAAGTTAAATATTTCCACTTTCAACTAGTTAAGTTGATTCATGAGAAATGCGTGAAACACGGTGAATTGCCTCTTAGCATCATTTTTCATTTTCAAATGCAATGAGCATGTTTCTTTTCCATAAGCCTGCAGAAGCACACTAATTTACTTGGAATTCACCCTGCTTTACGTGAAAACAATGTTATACTTGTCAGACAGTTTTCAGAATAACAATTTACCAATACCTATGTAATTTTAGATCCTTCTCACCCTCTCAATGTGAAGTACTTTGTAAAAATCAATGCATCATATAGGTATACCAAAATAACAGAAAGGAGATATTCATAGCCAGGTGACAAAT